CGCGTGCGCTGAGAGCGGCCGATAATGAGGCGGCGGCCGGTAACGAGCTATGCACTCTAGTATTCTTTAAGGAAAAGGGCAAAAAAGAAGAAGAAAAAGACATGAAAAGAAGAAATTGAACATTTTGGAGATTACATTTCCATATTAATTAATTTTGACATGAATACATTAACTTATCATCTTCCAATGGCAATATAATGCATCCAAATGGAAGGAAAACAGTCTGTTTCAGTGCACAATGCAGGTCATAGAGAAATAACTTAATAAGTAAAACAAACAAAGGGCCTAGAAGCCACACTATCAATGCCAAATAGCAAAAAAGCCGATATTGCGCACGAAACGGACGGCCCAAATTTGGTCCTCTTCAGTGCGCAACCCTATCTAACACGTTCCTGGGCATTAAGAAGCAGCCTGCGATAGTATTTATCGATTCTAGTATACATTCTACGATACATTAGAGCTAGATTAGCTAGATGTGCTAAATAATCGACTACTCAAGCGCTTAGTAAATTGATCGATACCGGTTACGAAAACCATTAATATGAAGGGGCAAAACTTTCCGACACCGTAGAATCACGTGTGTTGACAGGAACCTCCAAAACGAAAGTGAAATAAGCTGCATTCTGCGCATGCTCACAGAAAATGACCTCGTTTTCGCTGTTCTTATCCAAAACAAAGCAGGAGACCGGGGGTTGCGCACCAAAACAGTAGCGCGGTGATGCGGGCCTACTCTAGTAATCGTTCGGGATTGTACGCTGGCATGTCGTTAGTTTAACCTTTCCTCTGGTTGATTGCCGAGTTTCATTTATTTTCGTCCAGGAGTTTTCCCGTAACTAAACTTAGAAGAGAGTCACTTCTGATTCCGAGCGGCCCAAAAAATACCCCTCGCGCGGAGGCCGATTTCCGGCACAAGGCGCAGCGGGCGATTGGCATTGCTACGCTACTCCTCTCTCTTTCTCTCTCCACTGCCCACAGACAAAATTGTACGCTTTTAGTAGGCTACAGTTGTAATGGAACGTTTGTTCACGGCACAGAATTCTACAATTTTTCTGTTATCACAGTGTAGAATTCTGTGGTTTAGGGGTGAACGCGCACCGGGTGAGAATAGCCACAAGACTCGCCTGCACTATTCTCACTCCGGGTGAGAATAGAGGTGGCCATGTTTCTAACATAGAGTTCATCCATTATAAAGCCGTACACACATCCCTCCGATGCATTCTCGACAGAACTGCTCAGCGAGCGGTTTCAGGGAAAGCCAAAACGCATCGCATGGGAGAACACGACAGCAGAATATCCTGCCGTTATTATCGATATCAGGTGCTTCTCGACCACATCTAGCGAACAGTCAACTTTCAGGATTTTCACGAAAACGTGACATAAAACGTAAACCGTGTGCATTCCATAGAGAACCATGTTACTTTCCATACAAAATTAGGGAAAAATTAAGACTCGTGCTCAGAAATTAGTGTCACAATCTACGTTTTAATCGAGCAGCAGTTATTACCTGGTTAGTGTAACCCATGTTCACTTCAGAAAAGGAAGTTGAGAGGGGTTTCCACGAGGGAGAAGGGAGTCCAACCGGAAAAGGATTTTTTTCAATCAAAAAGTGCTCCCGGTGATATATTATACGAATCTATCCAGCCAGCATTCCAAATTTTCAATGGGCGAAAGTAAACAAACTTAGGCCTTCACATTCTATGTATACACAATAGATCTAGAGGCATAGCCTAGGGAGTAATTCTATGGGCCTTCATGATCAAGAAACGCTGTGCGGTCAAAATATAGGGTAGGCTTGACCGTTTCGCTCGAGTTGCGTAGCCCCTAGATAGACTAGCCTAGATCTAGAATCTAGAATCTAGATCTAGATCTAAAATCTCTAGTGTTCAGGACAGAGCCAGAGCCATCTTTCGCCGATTTCGCTAAATTGTCATTAAAGGCGTCGACTGGATCTCTGGGTAAAAAACTGCTATTAATATTCTATTATTTTAGACATAGACTCTAGATCTAGAACTAGAATCTAGCTAGACTCCAGATAGATTCTAGAGTCTAGCTAGATTCTAGATCTAGATCTAGATCAATGTGAATGTTGTTTGTTGGTTGTCGCCTTTTGACTTTTATTGTTTGTTTGATTGTTGATTAAAAAAAAAAAGAAAAAGATAATCTAGAATCTAGATTGTGGCGTCGGTGGCCTAGTGGTTAGGCTCTCGGACTCGCAACCGTAAGGTCGTGGGTTCGAATCCCGTCAGGGACCCGACGTTGTGTCCTTGGGAAAGGCACTTTACACGAATTTTCCTCACTTCACCCAGGTGGGAATGGGTACCCGGCTATAGACAGCGAAAGATCTTGTCAGTTTGTTAGTGTTTGAGCGCTTAATCAGCTGCTTGCACTGTATGCTTCCCGGGAAGCTGAAAATGTTTCGGAGTGTTCTATGGTCTGCTGGGGTAATAATATAGTGTAAAGCGCATAGAGCCTGCTGTTGAGCGGGGATATGCGCTATACAAATGCTATCTATTATTATTTTATTATTAGATTCAAGGTCTCTAAAATAATTTAATAATGGGCATGGGGGATCCCTTAAGTAAACTTAATATATAAAAATAAGCTGAAGGCTGAAGTCTGAATAAAAAGACAAAGAATGGTAGCTTTAATTGTGGAAAGTGGCTATTCTCACCCGCCCGGAAGTTCTCGCAAGATCAACTCCTCCCCTCTTCTCTCTCTCTCTCTGTCTCTTTCTGAATACTGTCTATCGGTGTGGACGATCAAATTGACCAAAACAAAGTTAAAAAATGATGTTAAAACACAAAAGTAAATTAATTTGGTTGTCTACAAAGATGCTACAGCTATTTAACTTTTTGAATCGAGCCGAACTACGCGGGTCGCCATTTTGTTTTGCCCGGAAATTCTCGCGCTACTCCTCTCTCTCTTTCTCTCTCTCTCTCCACTGCCCACAGACAAAATTGTACGCTTTTAGTAGGCTACAGTTGTAATGGAATGTTTGTTCACGGCACAGAATTCTACAATTTTTCTATTATCACAGTGTAGAATTCTGTGGTTTAGGTTGAACGCAAAATTTGGTGAACGCGCACCGGGTGAGAATAGCCACAAGACTCGCCTGCACTATTCTCACTCCGGGTGAGAATAGAGGTGGCCTTAATTGTGACAGAGTGACGCTGTGACAACTAACGCAGGGATCATTGCGACAGAGTGAGTCTGTGACATTTAATGCGGCGTTCTAGTTAAATTGCGATCGAGTGAGTCTGTACTCTGTGACCCAAAAAAATAATTTAAAAAGAAAAAAGGAAAACAAACACACCCGCACACACATGCATACACATGCGACTAAATGTAGAACGACGCAAACTATTTTTAGGTAAGGCGGCCATCTTGTGTGACGTCAGACCGGAATACCCCTTCGAATACGTGACTATGATCTAAACATAGCCAACCGCATGGCACCACAGATCGTGTACCTACCTTGGCCTTGGCACTACGTTTGGTGCGATGTTTTTCAAGGAGACGTGTACCGGTAATGTGATGATGCAGTGCTCCGATGATGCTGCTGCTTATCTCTTCTGCGCATTGTTTATCGGGCCCGGGAGGGGGGAGTGGGATCTCCGGACGTATTTACGGCAATTTTAGCACGCAAATTTATAGTCTTTGTGTTTACTTAGAAAGGCCTACCGTGTTTCAATTTCAAGCATATCAGCGTTCTTACTGTTCTAAGCATCAACGATCTAAGCGATCTTCTATCACCAGAGCATGGCTGATGCGCTGCAGTCAGCCGCAAGTGTGAAATCTTACCATGCGAAACTCATCGATACGGAAGATAGTTCAAGCCACTGACTC